GTTTCAAAAAGGGCAGTGATCTAGTACTTGTTGTGACTACCTCTGTTTTTGTATACTTCTTGAATCAAAAAATCACTAAATTAAGACAGTCATATCGTTACTGACCACCAAACATGATGTTGGGGAGATACCGATGAGATTATAATTTATGGTCGCCCTGGTATGGCCGAGAGTGGGGAGAGTCCGCTCACCTTCTCGAAATGCTCTCACACGGCCACGCGTATACAGCCCCTGCCAGGGAAGTCCTACTCACTGCCTTCTCGTAACACAGGTGTTGTTATCGAAAATGAGAGGACGAAAAGCAAATGTCCGGCGCTTTAACCGGATCCCAAATCAATGGTGCACATGGGCTCCAGTATCCTGAGGGAACAAATGGCGTATGAATCAATAGTTGGTCACCGGCTACCATGGGACTGCATCTCCTCACGATCCTCCACTGCCTTGTGGATCAGATCTTCAGGTCAAAGGCTCGGGGTGTGGTCCCCTAAGAAAACCACCTGCTTCGGTTTGGGCACCCGGGCAGTATCACAGCCCTCACACAAACCAATTGAGATTTGTGTGGCGCATATGTATTTGGTGCCTTCTTGTACCGATATCTATGTGTTAAAATAATAATAATAAATGTGAGCGACGCCGAAGTGACCTTGGGAGTGTCTACCCACTTACTAGGGATAAATGAGTTATAAAGCAGTTTGAAGAATAAAAATTATGATTCAGAGTTTATGGTTAGGGTTGAGAATTAGAGTTACGGTTTTTCATTGCGAACTGACATCAACCAGAATGCCAAGACGCTATTTGGCAAAGACTTGTAATACAATATCTGATTGGCTCGTCCATAAGTCGTACTCTTGCCGAAAATTCCTCGTCAAAACTAATTAGGAGTGAAGTGCCACTTCATATTGGCATGGGTAGTCACACATCATCTGCGGACAAAACCGTCAACGTTCTAAATACTCCAAGTGTGCCTGTCCTGAGTGATGAAAAATGGACGTCAAGCCATTGGTAAACTTCCATTCTGAGTCACAAAATACACTACCAATGTCTGATATTAGGACAGAACTCCACCCTGGTGTGATTGAGAAAAATTTAATTTCATCGAATATTATTGTGAGTATATCACAAAATTAGATACGCGCTTGATTTCGAAAAGTTTAAGGAACATATCCGTAGAATCTTACAGGAAAACACTAAAGGAGTTCCGGTGAAAAAATTGCTAAGAATAAGTACGTAGACGGATGGCGGTTTTGAACCACGATCATATAGATTCCTTAGGGCAATCTTAGTGTCGTAGAAGCACGTGATCTGTTAGGTTGCACTCGTAGTCACAACAGTACCGACATTCGAGTAAGACCTGATATGTCTCTTGAAGATGGAATAGATAGAAAGACGGAACCAGCTGAAGTAGTAAACAGTCGACAATAAGGTGAGAAAAATTTCTGCCGATGGACTGGAAAGAACGACACCTCATCAAGATTCCAAAGAAAGGAGATCTGAGCAAGTGTGAAAACTACAGAGGCATTACACTACTGTCAATACCGGGTAAAGTCTTCAACAGAGTGTTACTGAACAGGATGAAAGACGCAGTAGACACTCAACCTCGAGATCAACAAGCTGGATTCCGTAAGGACCGGTCGTGCACAGACCAGATTGCGACACTACGGATCATCGTCGAACAATCAATTGAGTGGAACTCGTCACTCTACATCAACTTCATTGATTATGAGAAGGCATTTGACAGTGTAGGTAGGAGGACGTTATGGAAACTTCTTCGACACTAAGGAGTTCCTGAGAAGATTGTCAACATTATCCGGAACTCATACGATGGACTACAGTGCAAAGTAGTGCATGGAGGACAGCTGACAGATGCATTCCAAGTAAGGACCGGAGTCAGACATGGCTGTCTACTCCCTCCCTTCCTCTTTCTTCTGGTGGTCGACCGGATCATGAAGACTTCGACATGTGGAGGGAAACACTGCATACAATGGACAGTTCAGTACCAATTAGACGATTTAGACTTCGCAGATTACCTAGCCCTTCTATCGCATACACACAAAGAAATGCAGATAAAGACAGCCAGAGTAGCAGCAGTCTCTGCACCAGTAGGCCTCAAAATACACAAAGGGCGAAACCAAGGTCCTCAAATACAACACGAATAACAGCAATCTAATCACTCTTGATGGCGAAACTCTGGAAGACGTGGAATCCTTCACATACCTGGGAAGCATCTTCGATAAACAAGGAGGTTCAGATGCAGACGTCAAGGCGAGGATTGGCAAAGCTAGAGCGGCATTCCTTCAACTGAAGAACATATGGAACTCAAAACAACTTTCAATCAATATCAAGGTCAGAATCTTCAATACGAACGTCCAGGCAGTTCTACTGTACGGAGCTGAAATTCGCGGAACTAATACAACCATCACCAGGAAGGTACAAGTATTTATAAATAGATGTCTACGCAAGATACTCAACATCCATTGACCGGATGCCATCAGTAACAGTCTACTGTGGGAGAGAACAAACCAGCTTCCATTCGAACAAAAAATTAGGAAAAGAATGGAAATGGATAGGATATACATTACTCAAATCATCACACTGTATCACGAGACAAGCTCTAACTTGGAATTCTGAAATCAAACGGAAAAAATGGAAGGCCAAAGAACACATTATGTTTGGAAATGGAAGCAGATATGAAAAGGATGAATAAGAACTGGAAAGCGCCAGAAAGGATTGCTCAGGACAGGGTTGGATGAAGAATGCCGGTGAGTGGCATATACTCCTTCACGATGAGTAATAAGCGTAGGTAAATAGGTATTGGAAGTGAACGCTACCATGGCCTGTGTGAATAGGTTGCTCTCTGTAGGATTTTTATATGCCAATGCTAGTAGTCTAAAAAGTTAATTCTATGAATTAAGAGCACCAGTGGATAGATTAAGACCACTCATTTTTGCTGTGACAGAAACTTGGTAAGTCCATGATTTCGACATTAATCCAGAATTATTCGAATACCACTTCCTAAGAAGCCATAGACATTGATGTAAGGAAGTGTGCTGTTGAGACAGATTTGTCAGTTGACACTATCTCATCAATTGAAGAAGCATGGCCTATCTTTGAAGGCAAGTTTAGTCTAGTTGCGCCCTCGTTTATACTATGCCTGGTATCACGTATTATCCACCATGAATGACTAAACAGGTCAATAAATTTCTTAGACGCAGGAAAAAATATTAGAATATGTTCATCTCTACTGTCTTAGAACAGTACAGACTCAGCTGCCGTAAGACTAGGAATGCTCGTAAATTGTTTATAAGTAAAACTAGACAGTAGTATGAAAAAGATGGGTTCGGGATTATAAAAGTGGTCCGAAATAGTTACTCTCGTACCTAAAAAAGCAAACTCAGAGAAGTGACGGAGTTTTATCACTTAAGGTGCGAGAAAATCCGCCAATACTAGCAAGAGATATTCTCGAAAAAGCTGTAGATATGTTGGAATGTTTCAGTTAAGTGTTTTCTATCAGTAATAAGGAACGGCCAACGATTAATTGTGATTGTGGCGGCTTGTTGATGGACCCTGTAATTATTGTGAAAGGCACCGTCTTAAGACCAATTCGTCATCTCAAACCTGATAAGTTCAGTGATCCTGATGATACTCATCCTGGGATTATGAAAGCCCTATTGGATGGATTTTCTCAATCTATAGCCATACTGCCTGAAATGCCTAATAGAAAAGATAATTTGGATGGCTGTTATAAAATATGTGATATAATCTTTTATCCAGGGAACCATATGATTTTCGGAAAGGCCTATCATGTTTGACAAACATGCCCGTTGCAAGAGAAGATTGGGCTGCGACATAAGATCGAAATATTCCTGTGGATGTGATTTTCGTAGTCCAACGTGAAGCCTTTGACAAGGTCTCCCATTCAAGTCTTAAATCAGAACCGGAAAATTTTGGGGTACATTACGAGGTTATATACTGAGTAAGCGACCTTCTCTATGATAGGAGACAGAGGGTAGTGTTTAAAATAACTCACATCGTGGGAAACTGTAAAAAGTGGAGTTCTCCAATGCTCAGTCCTCGGTTTTCTTCCCTTTTTACTTTATCTAAATGATTCGCCAACTGTAGAAGAGTTATCTACTCTACTTTTTGCCGATGACATAAAGGTTTGGAGACCTATGCACAGTATGCCAAATAGGATAGCATAACAGGATGACCTCAGATCATTGGTGGCACGGATGGACAGATGGTCACTAGAAGTGAACCTTGGCAAGAGTGTGGTGATGCAACTTAATGACAATGATGATTCGGGTCACTACACAATATGTGGATTAGTGTTACACAAAGTAAGATTTAGGAGTCATAATAAGTAGCGATTTCAAAACTACTAGTAACCGTAAGGCTGCTGCTGCAAAAGGCTACAGGATATTACGGGTTATTCGTAGGTCTTTTCAGTATTTGGATGAAGAAATGCTTAGATTATTATACCTGACTTTCATTATAACATTTGGAATATGAGATTCATGCAGCGAGTCTTTGTTTCAAGTATGAAGTAAATATGCTGGAAAGAGACAAACGACGAGGGACTAAGATTGTATAGGGTCTATATGGTCTATCTTATGAAGGATAACTGAGATATCTTAATCTAATTCCGTTATCTTACTGCAGAACACTGGATGATCTAATATTGGCTTGTCGTATACTGAACTATGACTTGGTACTAATATGTCTTATCTTTTCCTTCCGTCTAGGACTCATCATTTGAAAGAACATTCGAAGGAAGTTGAAAAACTAAGATCAGCTTGTCTACATGTGAAGTTTTGTTTTCCTCACCGAGTAGTGAATTACTGGAATTCTCTACCATAACACGTAATATCAGCACCTGTTGATATATTCAAAACGAGATTGGACATCCACCGTGTTAAAAACTGCAAGAATTAATATAGGTGGACATACTTCCTGTCCTATTCCTTTAACTGAAGACTGAAACCCAACGGAGACTTGACAACCCCACAGCAATTAAATTACCTAATGGCCACCCCTTCTCTGGCCTTTCAAGGTCGTTTAAACAAGACGGCGGGCGGCTTTCGGTAAACTTGTGTTTTTTGCCGTGCCACGTAACCGACGTGTCAACGAAGATGCCGCGCTACCCGCCTGATCGGTAATCTCATCTAATCTGTAGTATTAACTGTCTTCTTATTTGACAATAACTAAGTCTGTCTAGTAATTTTACAACAGTTGTTCGTGGTATTTTAAGTAAACAGGCTTCTATTTTACACAAATTGCAAGACTGATTGCTTTGTAATCGTTCATTTTTTCAACGATGAATATCTTGATAATCTTATATCCTTTTCTAGTTGGTTTGATTATACCTCATTGGGCGTCCCGGTTAAAGGGACGCGTTTGCTTCCGATAAAACTACCTATACCATTAGAAAAGTCCAGCAATATTCCTTCTCATTTAAGGTAAGAGTGTACATGCTTCACTAAACACTGTACAGATTTACACTAGATGACCTTATTAATTGTGTTCAGTCATACAACCAGAAATTGACGTGTGTCATAGATTTGACATATGCTAAATATTATTCGCCAAAGGTAACTCCTTGTTATTTATTTCCCCAGTTCCTTCATGATAATAATATAAGTTACCATAAGATATATGTGGAAGGGCATGCAGTCCCAAACTCAAAAAATGTTGAACAGCAAGTTTTTATTAAGTTCAGAATCGACTTTTATAGGTTCATCAATATGGTTAACAAGGAACGTAAACAATCTCCAGGTTAGCTGTTATTTCTTTATGCAACTTTAAATTGTTTTCCTGTGATATATTCGATTTGCAATAAGTCGTTGTGTTTGGACTTAGTTTAAACCCAGTCTTACACAATATCATACTTTGTTCCTCTTTTTCGACTACAAAATATCTGCATCTTGTCTCAAAATTTTCCTACTTGTCGGTACTAATAACGTCTAAGTTTTGTTACTTTTTGCTGTGCCTGCCAATGCCTATCCCTCCATTTTGTTTTGGGAAAGTCTACAATAAGTCAGTCACTCAAATGTTTCGAAAAGCCTCATTCACCACATGTATGATTGCAGGACAATCATTCTGCGGTGAAACTATAATTTATAGATGACCTTTGAACAACAATAGTATGACTGACTGAGTCTCACTGTTGGGTGTTAATGTTTGAAGTTTTGCTTAATCCCGGCGCTTCCAATTATTCAAATATAAAGGTATTAACATTTGTCTGTTAACCGGATTGCCTGTTTATTAAGTTGTGTTGCAAGTGTTGGATTTTAGTTTACTAAGTAAATATTTCGTGGTCAATTTTTCCTCATCTATTTACAGCTCGCTTGGTGACTATCTGTCATCATTCGTGTGAATACGTGCCTGAAACATTCGCTGGATTACTCATCTTACACGCTCATAGTTTCACGTCGCGAAGTTCTGATACCGTAGCTTTTCTGATCGACCAGTCTGATATACTTTCTCCCCATATTATTTCCATAATAATAAGTGTACTTTGAAAACCTGTTTCTATCATTTCATGTGATTTAAACCACTCCTGTTAAACGTATCATTTTCCATAGCTGTTATGAATACTCAACTACTTATCTACATTTTCGAGTGTATTTTCACAAATCTGAGTGCTATTAATGTACTAATTTTTGTGTTTTTAGATGGCATAATTGCTGTACACTGCACACATGGCGTAAACCGAACGGGTTACTTAATATGCAGGTAATGTTCGCTACCATACTACATATTAGTCTCAAGATATCTTATCGATTTTATGAATATGAATCCTAAAGATGCTCTTAGAGGTAAGTGCTTATGTCATGGGAAGCACAGTTCACTGTTTTGTAGAGTTCGAATGGGCACGTGGTCATCCTGTTGAAAGAGAAAATTATGTTGAAGATTTGTTGAATTCTGTCAGTAAATTAGAGGTCACAAACGTTGAAAACAGTAGAAGTGCGTGAATAAATGTACTTTATTGTCAGTATTTTATTTAATGCGCTAAAAGTAATATCCATGCACACAAAACCTTTATGATACTCCTAAAGCTACTACTTGTTTTGTTGTGAGATAAGGTATTAAATAGCTATTTTCTGTATTCATTGCCTTTCATAAAACACGATGCAAAAGAACTTGGTATTATTGTAAGAGAATAAAATCATTACTGTGGCTAGTAAAAATACTTCCTAGAAATGCAAAATAATATTTTTGATGAACACTATTTAATCATTGACTGCCGAGGCTCCGAATAGTGTAGATAGTTGCTACAATAGATAATAATTACGAGTACACTAAATCCGACCAAAAATTGTCGTATACTTTATCTGGGCTCTAGTATACCAAAGAAACAAACGGCATATGAACCAATCTTTGGTCACCGGCTACCACGGGACTGCATCTCCTAACGTTTCTGCACTGTCTTGTGGTTCACAACTTGAGGTCGAAGGCTCCAAGTGTAGTCCTTCAAGAAAACCACTTGCTTCCGTTCGGCACGCGAGCAGTATCATAGCCCACACACAAATCAAGTGACTTGTGTGGCACTTATGTATTCGGCGCCCCTTTTTACCAATATTTGTGTTCAAATAAATACTTATCTGGCAGACCTCAGTTCAATCGTTTCATACACGTTAAAAATATGTTCATTTTACTTTCATAAAGGCACAAGCTTATTTAAAGAGTTCATTCACTCCCACCAAATGTAAATGACGGTTATACACATTTACGACTACATGTGCTCACTTTATGTTACAGATCATAAAAGCCCAAACATTGCAGTAATGTCAATAAATAGTTAGTCGAATCAGGGTTTCAAGCTTGAAATAATTTAAAAGCAAACTTTTAACAATGATTAAAATGAAAACTCACTCTTGTAAAATTTTGTCTACGGGTGTTAATGATGAGTTTTATTACCACTTCAGTGACCACAAATTATTGATCTTTCTTGTTCAAATATGTATTATTTCACCAAAGCATTCAAGGAACAATCTTTGCTGATAGATTTTTCAGAACTGTCCAAAAATTCAAATGAAACAGATTCACATTTCTATTTGCTAGTTTGTGAGGCTTGTTCATAAATAGTTAGAAATATACTGTCTAAAACAATCAGACAGTTGACAGACGCTTGGAATCCATTGTGGATAAGCAAATGACGTATGAACCTGTTGGGGACAATAGATCACCCAAAACTCACATTTTGTAATTTTATTTTATCGATTAAATGTTTAAATATTTGAAGTGGACTTTGACATATAACAGAACCTATTGTTGGTTACCGACTACCATGGGTCTGCATCTCCTAACGTTACTCCACTGCCTTGTGGATTAGACCTTTATATCAAAGGCTCGATGTGTGACCTTCTACGATGTCTACACGGTGGCCTAGAGGCTATGAGTTATCTGTTCAACCTTTAGTTCGGTAGCTGATAGGACCCATAACAAGACGAAACAACTGTTCATTGCTTTCTTGTTTTCACTGAATATCAGTCACATCGCCTAACCATTACGCTTGATCCCGTATATGTTAAGAGACGTACTCTGATAAAAATCACTTTGACGTTCAACAGACATCAGATAAATTTTACTAAGAAGAATGTGTCAATTTCTATCGAAAAGAGTGAATCGACCAATAATATTTGACCTAAATATCCACTTATTAAGAATCATTTAATCCCAGATTGATTATTACTCTGGTAATCTTTATTTAACTGCCAATCCCGAAATTATACCAGTTGCATAAACATAGTTAACCCTTGTTACTGAATCGTTTCGTTGTGTCTCTGCTACCGTAAAGTATGTGTGCGCTTATTACCCCTTTTGTAATTGGCTATCTTTCGTTTTTGTACTAATTGTTGTGATTTATATTTTATAAACGGACTATAATTGTTTGCAATATACATAGTTACCTGTTTTGACTATAGCCCTGCTTAGACTGTGCGACGTATTCAAGAAATTCACCAGTAGGTATTTACTTCTAACAGAATGTTCGGCAGTGACTTTGGAACCAACCTTTACAAAAACACTTACTACTTGTTTCCACTACCTTTGTTAACTTATGTTGCATCCGCTTTTCGTCCTCTTAATTTCGTTAGTAAAATGGATAATAGGATAAAGGAAGCAGCGTTCAAAGACTGACTCCATTTTCTTGATATGGGTGTTGAACAGATAAAAAAGACATGGTACGAAGATGTTTCATAACTTATCACATCTCAGGAACGCTTATATGCTCGAAGGCACGCCGTTCACTGTAGAAGAGTGACGAAAAACTGATTCAATCACATGTTGAATTTAACATTTGTCCGGCGATGAAAAAGTTTCTTGACATCCGCACAGCATACAGTCGATCAAAATGATTGACATTCAACCGGCGTTTATCAGTGGCTCTATGTGAACATCCTTTCCTGAAAGGCATCAGGCGTATTGTTTTGGAACAGAATAAAAACCGCCTGAATATGTTTTGAGAGCTTTGTTAGGGAGAGACACATTGAAGGCTCGTTTTACAGTGACACCTTTCATGTGCAGCCACGTGTTTGTTCCCAAAATTTTGGGCTCAGTCAGGTCTTTACGTTAAATAATAATCAGTTTCAGGTTTCGTAGGGTTCTGAGAAATCGCTAGTAAACATACTTATTGAGTCCGCGTGGTATCGATTCTTTGTTACCGTGCGGGAGTTCTATCCGTTATGGATTGATGGGTGAAGGGTCCTAGTCCTTATAACTTTAAGTGTACTTAGACAGCGAAATGCGCAAATATCCAAAACAAATTTGAGACTAGAGAAAACTCAAGCATATACAAAAATGTATGTAATGTTACGACAGTCTTACAGCAGACTCATAATATACCGGTTAGTTTACCGAATCACAGATGTTCATCAACCTAAAGGCTTAGGACACGCGGAATAGGAAAAATTTCCCCCAACATTCTTTATATGTAATGATCTGTAAATCAATAAAATCAGAAGTCTATAAGGACGAAGTGTGAACGTATATTTGAATGACACGTCGATGTGTTGCATTGTGTGGCATCTAAGGTAATGAGTTATCGTTTAACTTCTTTCTAGACCTACTGATGGAAATAACGTTTTCGTCGACTGAATTTTCAAGCACTGATCTCCTTCCAGGAGGCCCATTTACCAGCTTAGAATACGCAGATGACATAGTCCTGTATACACTCTCTGTCTTCCCTTAAACTAAGAGATTAAAATCGCTTCATATCTTTCTTTCGACGTACTAAATCTTTCTTCCTGTTCTATATCTTTATATGCAGTCTTTCTTTTATATATTACCACCATTGACTTAACCACTCCTATGCATCCGGTTTCCATCTTGTTGTACTAATGCGGTATGGCAGCTTAGACCGATGCATATAAGTGCCTGGTCCTACGTTGTAGGTGACTGAGTGAATGTGCTGCATGGAGCTGCTTAACATCATCTGGTAAGAATCCTTGACCGAGTGCATTCGAGCAGTGGTATTTCTGGTCAAATTCACACTTACAGATATTTACTACCACTAGTGGCTGAAGCCGATTTTGAATGCACTGCTATAGAACCTGTTTCCTGCTCAACACTTCCAGTTCCATGTACATTCTGTTAGCTGCTATTTTATTTACTTATTGAACTTGATACTGATAACAAAGTCTAATTATTTGTTTTACGATTAATTTGTTTTTCAGAATTGCATTGAGTTCTGAAGGTCCCCATACCTTTTCAGATATGCAACTTATGGCTTCTGTCAACTAATTGAAAGGCTCAAAACTTTCTAATAATCAAGTTTATGCAGATGAGCGAATTTCTGAATATGGAAGATTATGCGAGGAAACAATCTACAAGTTCACGAAAACTGTGTTTTATATTGACTACGTTCATGTTTATTGATTTAATGGATTATTTAAATATAAATATAACAACTGCACTCAGTCTTTTGCACTGTAAATCTTGTTGGTATGTAGAATTATAATCCAAAACGGTGAATTTGTCACGACGTGATTGCCTCATCTGTAAGATATGTGGGAGCGATATCACTGACACATCGTACCGTGACAATTAGCAATGATAATCAGTACTTCTCAAGAATACGTTTTTGGGCTGGGAATAGAATAATATGTTTAATGTGAATTGTAATGAGTTACACACATTGACTACGTCTGTAAGGCTAAGCTATGCCATCCGATTGAATGTCCCCACGTCTACCATTAACATGTCGAATATACATCTTTTCTGTCATTATATGCTTGGGTTCGGAGTCTGTGGTTAGGAAACAATGCCACTACAAGCATCCATCCGAATAAACAACGCAACATTCAGCGAGACTTCTACACTGGCGCAGCACTACAAATTTTCGTAACGAAACGGGTACTTATAAATCAAATACTTAGTTGTCTTTAATTTTCACAAACAGTTACCCGTTGTAGTGTCTGTCATTATGTTAAGCCCAAATACCTTATTATTTTAACTTCCGGACAGCCCATTCTATTTGAGTCACATTCTGACCTTGTTAATTATTCGCTTATCAATATCTTGACTGCTTTATATGAGCGCGTAGGCGTATGCACACTTCTTATCCCGTTACTCATCACATGTCTGTAATTTATTTTTGTGGGCTTATAAATATTGATTAACTCTTTGTTAAGCGGGGAGTTGGCTTACCAGCCATCTCCACCGCTCGTCAATTTTGCTTCGCTTTCTCATCTTCGCATCGTTCCTCCGTTTGTTCGTCTAATCAACAATTATGCAAAATATATGCATTCAAAACTCCATTCTCGTTATTTGACTTATTTGATTCCGTTATTAACCATCGCGATTTAAGTTAATGATTATATACGAGGATAGACGATAGCAACCAATCATTACGATCAAATTGGAGTCAGATCACGGGCCACTAAAATGGTGATCACGCCACCACAAGCTAACACAACGGGCTACTAAACCGTTAAGATTGTCTGTATATCTCCCCATGAAACTACGAAGGAGAAAGTGAAAACTGGGTAAAAGTTTATTGGTCCGTCTATTACTACTGGTCAAGGAAGAGCAACATTTGATGCGGAAAAAACAGTTTAGAAGTTGGATATATAAAGTTAAAAATATTACTATGAAGAAATTTTTATAGTAAACAATTCCTGTCACGTCTCCACACTGTTAGATTCTGATCCATATATTATATCGTAAAGAATGCTACACAAAGACAAGCGTTAGAGAAACTACTGCTGATTCTTAAGTAATAATTGCCTTCGTTTAATCTGTACCTACTGTTTGCTTCGTCTGGGTAGTGAAATTGTTGTGTTATTATGGAAGGTGTGTGTGTTATCTATATTCCATTGAATGCGATGCAAAGAATATGATGAACAGTTTACATTTCGTAATTGATCGAGCTGTAAAAGTTCGTCTTATGTATGCCAGTAGGATATGATGACAAGGACGGCACGCCACAATTTATTCACCATTCACGTTACGTCTGCTCACAATTCTTTTTGCTTCCAGGCAAACAGAACAGGATGCGCACGACCAAAATTATCCGGTAATACCAACAAATATCTACAAAGCAGTTTACTTTCAGCGTGAATGTAATCAGTCTGAGAAGGGAAAAAATTATTCTACCCTACTTTTTGGAATCTCTTTAGCACATTAACAAATTCAGTTCAGCTTTCGGAACGCCTGTTCAGTATTATAAATTGAAACGCCTCGCTTACGTAGACTAAAATATCTCTTTGACATGAAAAATTACAAACAGCACTGGATAATTATTAAAAATCCGTTATTCGTTGCAACAATAACTTACTAACTGAAGAAAGTATTACCAACATTTCCGACTTACTGGTCATTCGATATTTCGTCATAATACTTGAGTAAAACCGACCCACACAAAGTTCATGTATCTAGATCTGCTAAGTTATTCTTATTCTTGTCACGTTGTTTTCTGGATTTTATCACATTTCAAACAAAGACGATGAGGTTTATTAAAGAAATTTGTATCGCAAATCAACCCAATCTCACTATCTTGGGGAAATTTCGGGGTTTTCTCTGAAGTCAAGAAAATATGTCAGTTTTCCCCAAAATTCGGGGAAATCTCCCGGTGTTATAAATTTATATGGAAATATTGTGGAAAACAAAATTTCCACAAACATTTTGGGGATCTCCCCATACCTGGGGAAATTTTGAGATTTTTGTGCCATTTTCCGAAAATTTTCAATAGTGGTTTCCCTACAACAGGGAGATTGGGAAGTTACGAAGCAACAATCGATCTACCGTTTGCAACACTAGAGAGAGGGAGCTATAACAATATTCTACGCAATCATTTTGTGGTATTCTTGCAGCAAAAGACCACTTAAATATGACATCTAATATTCGCACGTTTCAAAAAGCGCAGTGATTCAGTGCTTGTTGTGATTATCTTTACTACTGTATACTTGTTGCACCAAAAAGCATTCTTGGTCTAATTTAACTTGAAGTATTTCCTCTAAGGTTTGAAATCTCGCTAAACTCCGTCTTGTGATATCTCCTCTCATTGACTCTGATTTTTGTGTTCATATTGTGTTTTAAAACTTTTTTGTCTGGTTACAATGGTTGGTAGTACTTATAAATGTGCACAACCAATTTGTTTATTCCCTGTGGAGGAACGAATCCAATGAGTGTAAAAGTTTCCATAAAATTTGTACCCGTTTAAGTCCCACCGCATAAAAAAGAAGCTCGAAATTTAATTCGCATTGACTTTGTATGTTTTGCTGTACAAATGCTTTGTTGACTGATCCAGAAGGCTATGAGCCTATTAGCTTTGGCGGTGAGAGTATAACTCATGGACGACCTTTGAGCAACCCTAAAGTGACCTTGAATGTCCACCTATTAACTAGGACCAAATGAAGATAATAAACCACTGTGAAGGATTAGAATTATGATTTCTTGTTAGGGTTAGGAATTAGATTTAGGGTTTTTATCATGAACTGAAATCAGCTATAATGCTAAAACTCAATTTAGCCAAATGGATGAGTGAATTTCGTGCCAAAATCTGAGACCTGTTATCTTATACCTGGTTGGATCGTCCACAAATTATAGTCTCGCTCAGAAAACTTCAATCCATATATGTCTGTGTGACGGAACATGTTGTTAAATTACAGCTCTTTATGGTCAAGTGAAATGTCACGAACCAATGGTAACGATGATGATTTATTATACAAAATACCTCTTCAAATCGTCTTTGCGACGCTAAATTTGTTTAACTTCCTACCAAGTAATCCAATTACACGCAAAACTAGATAGTTTTTTGAAAACGAAGCCTGTTCATGACACTATAAAATCAATAAAAATAAAAACAATATGAAATAGCTTTGACAGAAAATGGAGATAGCCATTTATGTTTCAGAATACTGTCCTCTGTACTATACTTTAAAACTACACATAACGATATACTTTCAGCTACTTTTTGAACCTGCGTTTATACAGTTCTTTGTGCACTCATACCTTACATTTGTTTTCTTTAACCTATTACAATTCTCTTGCTTAAAAGGACCTTAATGATAGAAATTCGGACTATGTGCTCATACATTCACTATTTCACCATAAATGACTCACTTTCAATAGGTATGAACATTGTGGGTTTTGCTTCTGGTTCTTTCTTTTGCTTAGGCAAAAGTGGGTAATTACCCACTTTTACAGCTTCCTCAATATATGCCACTGATAACGCAAACCGAATGGGTGACTTTGTCCTGCAGCATCATTAATGCTTCAGATGTTCGAGAGGGATATAAGGTCACGGTTTATAGAAGCTCTCGAATTCACGTGAATTTACTATAGGCTATCAGTTGCTCGACGCAACGTGTAGCACGTACTATCAGCGTTTACTGGCAAGCAGGAGCAATCTGAAACGCAACACAACAATCAGAACCGGTAAATGCCACTAGAGTGAGAACACGGCGTACTGGCACAACAGAGATATATTTCAAAAATTGAATTACGCGGTTCGAGTACAAAAGGGAAAGTTTATTACAAACTGGGTTTACTCATTGTCCTGCAGGTCTAGCTTGCGCAAGGCTTGTTCCCCTTCTTCTAGTACGTTTACATTCTGTTCCCCTAAAATGAAGAAAACAATTTCGCATCAGTGAAGTCACATGTAATGATTTTAAATACCATTACACTACCCCCTCTCTCCATGGGGCACTGTCCTGAGTGCCTGGTGCTGGACATGGGTATGCTACCCCTCCTTCCGGTGGCACCACATAATGGCTGACTGCAGTCGGGGGGGTTACAAACGGGGTGTCTAAGTGCACCGCTGTTCTGTCTGGCTTCAATTGGTTGTAGTATGCTGTTATAACATCGTCTTGGGGCCGTTGGAGGTTACGTAGGACGACCGTAGTGGGAGGCCGTGTAAACACAACTTCATAAGGTCCTTGCCAAGGTTGGTGAAAATTGCTGCATGTCCCTATCGAGGCCAAAGGGCGGTGCAGCCAAACACGATCACCAGGTTTATACACGGACCCGTTCGCCTTGCGGTCGTACACATCATTTTGGTGTTTGCTAGCATTTTGTAGGTTGATCTTCACTAGGCGGTATGCGTCCGCCAGGCGGCTGCGAATGTTACGGATGTATGATACATGATCTTGAGCCTCGCATGGTAACAACGGTATTTGTAGCTCAACAGGTAGGCGCAATTCATGTCCAAAGAGTAAGGTCGCAGGTGAAAATCCCATGGATCCGTGTACTGATGAGCGGTAAGCTAACAGACATTGGGGTATAACATCATCCCAACATTCCGTCGACGACTTACTGATAAACGATTGTAGGAGGGTTTTGATAGTCGTGTTTGTTCTTTCCAATAAGCCGTTACCACCTGGGTGGTATGCAGTAGTGTGTTTTACGAATTCCCAATAATCGGAATACCTGGGCGACGAGATGGCTTTCAAAAGCTGAACCTTGGTCAGAATG